GGCCCTGCATCCAACCCCTGAGGATACTTTTGGAATCCGAGATTATTTAGGCTCATGGATGAAGTTCTGCTACGGTACGTTCCATAAACAGAGTGAAGTTTTCAGGTTAAGCCTATGGTCCTAGCCACCCACTGCCCCTTCAAAGGTAAAATGACAACAGAGTCACTGTAGTTGCCCCTACTTGGATGGATTTTTTTTTTTAAAGTGCACTGTTATTAGTCTTTTTTTTTTTTTAAACTGTGCTACAAAAGCCAACAACAGATTGTTAAACTTCTGCCTAGAGTCCTCCAAAAAACACATATGTACACTTCAGGGAAAAAAAAATCTTGTACAATTCTTTTAATACTTTTATCTAAGGGGAAGCCCAAAGGAAATCGTGTACTGCAGAAAACCCACTACACTGCCGAGCCTCAGACGTCAGAGCACAGAAAGCCCACTGCCCTGCTGGCCGTTAGACACACGCGCAGGAATGCCAAGGGACACTGACCAAGGTACCCCAGCCGCGGCTCCCGGTGCTAACAAATGTCAGGAAGCTCGAGGCCACCACTTTGAGCAGCTCTCCTAACTGCACGAGCTGGAGGTAGCTTGTGTTATGCTCATGATAGCGCAACAAATTTAGTATTGAAATATTATAAAGTTTTTTCCCCTGAAATATGTCTACATTTTTTTTTTGGTGGACTAAATTCCCACTGAGGCTTAACTGCTGACTGAAGACATAAAAGCCTCAAAACCAACTGTGCTTTACTCCCTTCTAGTCATTTCAAAAGTTTGACTGGATCAACTAGAATATTTGCTTTCTCTACCCACGGTAAGCAAAGCGGAGTCAGCATCAGCCCTGTTCTGGAGATTCACGGTCTCAGAATCTTACCTTTTCTATGCCAAACATGGCATTAGAGCGACTCTTGGCTGCTGGCTAAGTGTCTTCTTCCTGGATGAACGCCTTCTTCCTAAATTGAGCCTCAAGGACGGAAGAACATGGGCAACCAGTCTTAGATCAAAGCTTTTCCAATCTAGCTTTACACCTAAAGCTCAATCTCTTTACTCAACTGCAAAATTCCAAATAGGTCTTCAAGGGGTAAGAGAAATTATGGATCCTCAGAAACCTCACAGGAGGGGCTGGGGAGAGAGCTCAGTAGAATAAGCACTTGCCTGGCAAGCACAAGGGCCTGAGTTCAATCCCCGGTTCCGCAAAAAAAAAAAAAAAGAAAGAAAGAAAGAAAGAAAAAAAAAAGAAACCTCACAGGAGTAAAGAGTTAACATGTAAATAACAGCAGAGATCAAAGTGCACGCTCAACTTGCAAAATGTAATTTCACTTAATTTAGGCTTCATCTCAAACTGTACTAAACAAAACTTTTTAGGGTCATTTTTCTTATAATCATCAAGCTAAATGACATCGGTAATCCATTTGGTTGAGAAGGTATTCCTTAGTTGTTATGGACTGATCAGGCCTGCAATCTCCCAAAGGAATGGATGGCAAAAGCCTGAAAGAGGCCAGTGCTTCTGAAGGCTCAGCTAAGACGAAGATCTGCTCTGAGTAGCCCATATTTAGTTAGTTATCAAACAAAGGAAGGGAATACTGAAGAAAGGTGGGAGTGTGCAGGACCAATGGTTGAGGGACCTGGGAAGCCTGCATGAGGGCTTCTCCAAGTAAGACTTTAATTTAGAACTACAGTTACCTCCAGGAAGGTCTCCATCCAGGAGATGCCTGCAACTAGTCTTGGTTATCTCACCAGTTGGGGTTGGAGCCAGGTGACTTTAGCCCTGTCTTGTTCTTTGAGGTATAAGGCATTGCAGGCCTCCGTTACTATGAGTCTGCTGTCCATCTCCAGACAAGGGGCCTAAGTCTTGCACACTCACAAGGAAACACGAAAAGCCAATTGGTTAATCAAAATCCTGCTCAGAAACACTTAGTACTGGTATGCATCAATATTCAGGCCCTACGAACTTGTCACCAAGAACCCTGCAAGCCGTCCTTATCCTGATGTTCAGCCTTTCCTTTGAATGCCACTAACATTCTACTGAAGGAGCTCTTCCTATAGCCAGTTTTTGTGTCCAACAATAGGAGTCCAGCTAACACAGTTCTAGCACTACAGAGTAAACTGAGTTGCAGTTAAGAGACTGTACAGCAGCTCCTACTACTGAGAATACTTAAATCCAGAGCATTAATTTGTACACTTAATTTTTTAAAAAGACAAAAAACAATACCATAAATAAGAGGTTATATTAGAAGCATTTTGTTTTGCCTATGTAATAAAAGACACAGAAAACTGCCGCTTAAGCATTACCCATAATATGCAAGAATGTTGTTACTGGTAATTATTTGGGGAGAAAGCCAAATCACATTTTATTATTCCTGTCAGCAAAAAGGTATTCAATACTTTTGAAAGTCACTGCTTTCCATATTTTAAAATCTATTCCCTATAAAGAGAACCAGCATCTTCAGCTCATTATCTTTACTGAAGCTCTAATTCAGCTTTCCTTTTTAACCTCAATTTCAAATGTTAGAGGTTATGAATAGCCAAGAATTCAAAGGAATGTTCTAATCTTAGTTAATATCCACTTTATATTGAACTTGATGCTTGGAACCTACACGTGGCTGTACTCAATCCAACATCATTTCTATTCATGCGGTTGTTTCTTCTTTTGTCTTTTTTGAGACAGGATCTCCCTATGCAGTTGACCTTGAGCTCACTTTGTAGACCAGGCTGGTCTTGAACTCACAAGAGCTGAGATTATAGACCTGCACCACCAGGTCAGGTTCCATTCAGGGAGTTTTTATTTTTGCTATTTTTGAAGTTACAAACCCATGGGCCACTAAACTAAAATCAAAATGGATCAAAACAAAACAAAACAAAACAACCCTAAACGTTAAAAGCAGAAATGTTTAAAATGCTAGAAATAACACAAAACAGTCAGGCTCAGGATGCTCTGGTTCGATCCCCTCAACCTCAAGCCAAACCTGCCCTGCCCTGAAGGCATCCTGAGGGACTCCCAAAAAATAGGAGGTAATACAGGTAAAACTCTTGAAGACGGAGGTGTAGACTGGAACTTTCAGAATTTCACTGGCATCATGACCATTACCAACGTCAATAAATGGCACCATATCAAATTTAAAAGCTTCTGCACAGCAAAGAAAATGTGAGTGAAGAAACAATCTACTGAATGGGAAAAAAAATTTTACCCGTTATTCCTCAGACAGATGGCTACTACCTAGAATAGAGAACTAAAGAAAAACAAAAACCAAAAAATTATCCTCCAAAATACAGACCCAATCAAAAAAAGGAGTGATTGATGTGAACAGACACTTCTCAGAAGTACAAATAGCCAATAAATGCACAAAGTGTTTAATATTGTTGGCAATTACAGAACTGCTAATTCTATTAACCCATTTCAGGTCAGTACGCAGATTCCTCAAAAAATTCAGAGTAGAAATTGCTTCTGACCAGGGATTCCCTCCAAGGTATATTCCTGCACAGTTAAGGACATATACTACAGTGACACACGTGAACCTATGTTCACAGCAGTTCAATTTGGAATGTCTACCTCTTGGAAGTAGCCTGCATGTCCAACAGATGGAGAAAGTGTGGTATCCGTACACAGTGAAGCATACTCTGCCAGAGGGCAAACTGGAGTCACCTGTATTAACACGAATGTACCTCAAGTCCATAGTAAGTGAAACAAACGAGGCACACAAGTGGAAATGCATGACTTCTCTTATACAAGAAGCACAAATATAAAGAGCAAAATAAAAAATAACAGGAAATAGAGAGGTTAGGAAATAGGGAGAAATACGGAGAAATAAGGAGACTGTTTTCACATGGGAAGGAGAGCAACTAAAGGGGGATGAGAAGATTGAGAAGAATGTAATCATACAATGCAAGCGTATAACAACAAAAGTAAACACTGAGCTGGGTCTGGAGATGCAGACCTATAATCCCAGTATTTGAGAGGATCAGAGAGTTCATAGTCAGCGGGAGCTACATAGTGAATTCAAGGTCAGCCTAAACTCTACATAGCAAAACTGTATCTCAGGAAAAAAAATGTGGGGGGCGTGGGGCTGGGGAAATAGCTCAGTAGAATAAGCGCTCTCCTGGCAAGTGCAAGGGTCTGAGTTCAATCCCCGGTTCCGCCAAAAAAAAAGCAAACAAAGACATTGCACATAAAGTATTTTTGAAAAAATAAAACTGGAGAGAGCTGAACATACAGCTCAGCAGAATAACCACCTGCCTGGCAAGCACAAGGCTCCCTGGTACCCCAACACCAAAAAAAAAAAAAAAAAAAAAAAAAAAAAAAGTCAACAACTTAAACTGGAGAAAAAAATCCTGTGAAAGATGAAAAGCTTCATAAAGGCCAAGACTTTATTTCAGTCATCCTGACACTTTGCACTTAGAATCCTGCACGTTAAGAGATGCTAAATACCTAATGCTACATGAATGGACAGACGGTACTTGTGCGTAGCAATGAACAATGAAGGTACAGAACAAACATAAGGAGCTCAGAAGAGCTTCTGATCACCATGATTTAAATGATTACAAACAAGTAGATTTAGATGATACAAGTTTTTAGAAGTTTGTCTTAAAATGACCTTGGAATAGGAGAGAATTTAGTAAAAAGAATATACTGATAAGAGTATTAATAGAGACAAAGAAAATAAGCATGGTATTTACGTAAGGAAAATTTGGCTGACAGTAAATCTAAGAATACAGAAAGATACTACAACCCAACATTTGCTAAAACGAACTAAATAGCAAAGGACTTTCGCAGCTCTACAATGTTTATGTCTATTGTTCTGAGATGAAAGAAAGCATAATCTAAATTTACCCAGTACATTTAAAGTACTTCATAACTCTTTAACTTTGTATATAAGCTACAGGCTCTAAAGCCCAGTTGGCATAAGAAATCCACTGCTTTACTGAATGCATTCTACCATTAATCTGTTAATACCGCACAAATATCGAAATATTTTAAGACAAACTATAAGATATAACTTTATTTCGTCATCATTTAAAGCTTGATTTTTAAGAAAACATTTTAAAAATTTAAGAGTTCTGTATTATGGGAAGTGAACAACACAAACATCCATTGCTTTATAGGTTACATAAATTAAAGTCAAACAATACAAAATTTTTCAATATTGGAACTACACAATAAACTGACAAAGAGACCCACTAAAGCAACATTTCATTACTTTCAGGATCTAAACTGAAGTTCTAAATTTTCACTTTGCCTGTTTTATATACAAGTATCTCCTATCCAGCTTACACATTTGACCAAATGAGTTAGCAAAGTAGCTTTATAGCAAAAGACTTTCCATCTACAACCACTGCCTTCAGGGCAATTGCCACTGCCATGTTCGTGAATCCCGCTGGCTCCTTGTGCACAACGTGCAACACGCTCATTATGTTGGCCTATAAGTCAAGCAGGCACTCCAAACATGGAACAGTTATGCACAGTTCATTAAAGTATGTTGGGTTTTGCCATTTAAAAAGTAACCAAAAAAGTAAGTCACCAACTCCAGTTGACTTTGATTCAGGAAAGCCACCTCAAGAATGTTTTCCACCACGTTCCTTTCCTAGTCTCATTCTCAGTCATTGACGGGAATTTTGTAGGCCACCATGCTGTTCACTTTGTGGATTGTGGTAGTAAATGAACGGAGCCTGACTTCCTCAGAATTGGTAATGAACTGTGGTCCCGACTCTTCCCATTTTTCAGGTACAACCAAATCTTTGTCTGTATAAATCAGGAGGTCAAATGAACCTAAATTGGGGGAAAGATCATTAAAATGCTTTGAAGTGAACCAACCTCTCAACTTCTCTCATGTTGAACCATTTATTGTTAGAAAAGATGCTTTCACCTGGTTTCTAATTACTAATCTGTTTTTCTCAATGGAAATTTCAGTTCAGGCAATATTTTACTCTTCTATCTTAGCTTACAAAATGCCCAAGGCTTTGTGATAGACAGTATTAAGAATAAAATAATGGATTATCACATGAGAAAATATAAATACAAGCCACCAGAAAGCTGACACCTTACTTCTGTCAGTGCTGTATTCCAACCCCCACAATAGGGCTTGGCACCTAGTAGGCATCTGGCAAATACTTGATAAATGGAGTAATTCAGATAGAAAAGAAGGGCATATTTATAGTTGTATTATATAAAATAAAAGTAGTGAAAGAAAATCAAGTAGCGAAAGGAACTGCAGTACATGAAAATGTTTAATGGGGGTGTTATGCAATACTTTTTCTTTACTTTCCACTATTCCCAAGTTTTCTAGACTACACAATATTTTGCTTTATGTTTTATCCTCACTATATTTCACTAATGATTAAGAAATAATAAAAAGGGATAATTTTTAAAGCAGTACTTCAGTCTTTTCTCCAGTACGTTTAAGTCACAGAAGCTACAGAATACTTACAAGCAACTTCGAGTAATGGAAGAAAAGTCACCGTGGCCGTGATCTGCCTAATCACAGAACGAATTTCATCTTGGATTGCTTTCTGAGACTTTTCTCTGGGTGCACTAAGCAAGAAAACAACAAAAAAACCCAGTTAATTCATTTTAGGTTTTAGTAAGTTATTTAAATCACAGGTTTAAAGAGATTTTAAAAAAGTAAATGAGTAAGAAATATCCTAAGGACCTATATGTTCATAAACGTAATACATCCTTTATTATTTCGCTAATTATCTTTTGGGCTGAATTTAGTTTCAGATCACTTATTGTGAGATGATTAGCAAATTTGCCAGCTACTTAATTAGCTAGCCTTTGAGACAGGGCCTTGTTATACAGTTGATGCTGGCCTGGACTTCCTCCATAGTTCAGGCTGATCTTGACCTCTTGGCAATCTTTCTGCCTCAGCCTCCCAAGTGCATGGATTACGTATGTGCCCAATAATTTGGGAAAACTTCAATATCTCTTAAAAATTAGCATCTAAAATATTTAATTGGTAATAATGCTTCTGGCATTTTTAGTAATATCTGAATATCTGATTTCCTATAGGCTCAAACAAAACATTAACTTATACAACATTATTTTATAAGCTAAAGTATTTCTAACTCAGGTGGGCCAAATAGCTCAGCGGATTAAAGCACTTGCAAGCAGGCACAGGGGCGGGGTTCAATCCCTAGGCCTGCTGCGCTGGTCCCGCCCCAGGGCACACTGAGACAGCAATTGAGACTGGGCGTGGTGGCACACGCCTGTAATCCCAGCTCTTGCAAGGCTGTAAAAGGCAGATCACTACGAGTCCAATCTAGTAGTGAGACCCTGAATACCCTGTAGACCCTTCCCTAAAGAATATAACAAAATAAAATAAAGCACATGAAAAACTTACAAAGCAAGCTATATTTAATTATAAGAAAGGGTTTTGAGTTTACAGGAAAGCATGCCCAGAACAACACTAAACATTACATTATGATGGGCAGTTCCCATCTAAGGAATATAGAATCTTCACAAGTTTATAAACTGTCTTGGGCAGTTCATGGAATCACTGAAGTACAGGAAAGCTACAATTTAAGTGGAACACGACCTAGGATCATTGCTTATAGTTGAAAGTACCTTTGGACAACTGATTAAATGGCCCATCCAGTATATCTAAATGTATACTTTTACATACATCACCATAAATCTTCAGGTTCAAATTTCACTGATTACAACTGCAGGCAATTATGTTAAACATACCCTAACCATACAAAGTAATGACGTACTTGTATGGCCAGGATTTTTCCACAGGTAACTGAAGAAAACTCACATTAGAAACAAAGCTACATAGGAAACTATTTCAAAAACTTAGAAGTCGTGAAGCAATAAAGAGTTCTGAAAAAGAAAAACCTCAAGTGGGAATATTTTCAACAGTACTTACCTATCATCTTTTGCAGTTTTGTCACATTCAATATCAAACTGCCATCTTTCAAGGACTTCACCACTTTCAATATTTGAGATGACAACCACAAGTTTCTGAACTGAACACTTGTACAGCCAATCTGCAACAGATAACAATGCAATTGTACAGTTGCATTACCAAGCCAATCTCTTCTCAGATCCCAGTTCCCATCCTCAGCAAATTCCTACTCTGGCTATTGCACATCTCCTCTTGCATGTCAGGCAACTGCCATATCAACTGGCTAACTTGTTTCTAAATTCTCAGTATTGTCAGTGATGTAATAGCAGGTGCTGACAACAGTCGTGAACCTAGGGTACTTCCACGTTAATGGCACAGCAGATAGGTACCAATCTAAGCATCACACTAACAAACTGAAGTTCTAACTGCTGTATGTGATTTGAAAGTCAGGTGACAAAATGACAGAAAAATGTGATTCAGGCAGATGAAAGCAAGACTGCATTGGGCTTTAAAGATTTATGGCATCAAATGCCAAAAATAAAGTAGTCTTTCAATAATCAAAAAGGATGAGAATGTGAACAGAGGACTCAACATGGGTCAGTACAAGTGCAATGAACACACAGAGAATGAGTTAGGGTAATTTCATCAAAATGGGGGCCATCTGACCCAAAGCAATGTGGGTCAAACTAAAGAAAGTATACTTTAAAAACCTAAGAGGGGCTGGGAAGATAGCTCAGAGGCATAAGCGTCTGCCTGGCATGTTCAAGATCCCGAGTTTGATCTCTGGTACTGCACGTCCTGCCAGCCCCGAGCCCCAGGCATGCTGTGCCAGGACCATAATTCCAGCATAAAGGGAGGCTGAGATAGGAGGATCACTACGAGTCTAACTGTGCAGCAAGACCCTATATGAACAACAAAAAATAAATAAAATAAAATTTAAAAGCCTAACAAGCTATTACTGTGTTTGAAGCAGAGTATGATGTAATTAGGCTTGTATTTCAGAACAATGATTTTGGTTATAACGTGAAAATTGGATGGGAGCGTAAAAAAGGGAATCTAAAGGCACCAGTTAGTAATTCAAGCAAGAGGTGAACACAGAGAATTCAATGGTAGAGGTGGCACAGAAGACATGACAATACATGACATATTAAAATGTCAAAAAGTCCTGAGGTAAATCATGGGAATAAGGAACTAGAATGACTTAGGGGTGGCTTACAAGTTTCATTTTTGAAAAAAAGATTTATTTATTTGGTACAGGGTCTCACTATGCAGCTTATCTCATTGTGAGTCTCGTCTCAGCCTCCCAGTGCGGGGATTACAGTCATGTGCCACCACGCCTGGCTTTGATGGCCTGCATAGCAAGCATGGGATTGCATGGACAACACAGCATTTGGTAAGGAGGATCGAACTCGGGTCCTTGTGTTTGCCAGGCAGGCGCTTAGACTGCTGAACTTTTTCCCCAGCCTTGGCTTTTAGGTTTCTAAGGGAGAACAATTCTTCTATTTTAACTAAAATAAAAAGAAGTTAAATAAGATCTAGACACACATGAAGTGAAATGTCACTAAACACAACTAGCACCTTGGGCAAATCTTCCTTCTCCATCAGATTAAGATGGGTGTAGAGGGTTGGCTAAATAGCTCAGTGGAGTAAAGCGCCTGTAAGCAGACTTGGGTCCGTTTCCATCCCCAGGCCGGAGTGCTGACCCCACTCCCTGGGCATGCTGAGACAGCTGATTGAGACTGGGCATGGTGGCACACGCCTGTAATCCCAGCTCTTATGAGTCCAATCTAGGAGTGAGACCCTTAACATGCATAGACCTTTCCCTAAAAATAAAAAAGTTTTAAAAATTTTAAAAAGACAGGTGTAGAACCAGCAGCTGCCAGCAAGTCCCATGTCAAATGATCTGGGTGCAGCCCTATGGGTGACCGCACTCTGATTACCATTTAAACACAACTCTGAGAAAGTAGGCTATTCCTGCCAAGTGCTTGTTTGCACCTGAGAATGGTGATCTATCTCCACATCCTCATAGAGGGTTCAACCTGACATTCAGACATCAATGATCCTCAGGAGCTGAAGTTTCCCTGATCTTAATCTAAAGGTGACTTTCAGATTCCAGTTACAGAAAATAAATCAAGTTAACAACATACCTTGTCATGGAACACTGTCATAAATATGTGAAAGTCCAACCTGTTTCTTCTGGACACATTAACTGCAAAAGCCATTTCTAAGCGAGATGATGGTGACTGTTTGCTAAGCCATGTGAGATTCCTAACATAAAATATTCAACCCACTTAAAATGTAGTGGAAACAGGTAGGCTTTCTTTTATATATTAACTGCTTTCTCCTAAATTAAAATCACTATACTTAAGATAGTATTTTTAAAATATACTATTATGTAAGTGGCCAATCGAGGTTTAAAAAAAAAATGTGAAATGTGGACCCGAGAAAATCTGTAAAACTCGAAATTTTAACGGTTCAGTACCTTTTAGTTGTTCCACCACATTATTTAGGTATTTTATAAGCTCAGGATCAGTGGTTACAAGCAAGGTGAGTCCGTATTTCTGCACTCGAGTAAAAGTTTCCGATGGATATATACCGCGCTGATATAAAATGCTGTTGATGCCAAACGCTAAAAGCAAAAAAGAAAAGCAAAAGCAGTTAAATGACTAAGAAAAGATTTACAGTTCTTACTGAAAGCAGAATGGGCACAAAGTGGCACCATAAAACCATACAATCTTGCTTCCAAGAAACCTATGCACTTAATGCTGCAAGAAAAGAAAACTGTCAAACTGCTTTAACATGAGATTGCTCATTTCACCTCGCTGTAATGGAAGTTCAAATTTAGTTTAAGGCGTCAGAGGGTGTCCAAACCGGCAGCTGCATCCTGATTAGCATCAGTCGGGTCTGACGCCCCAGCCTCTCCCCCCTCTTTTCCTCTTCTCCAGCACAGGTTCGGCCGGAGGGTGCGGCGGCCGGGCGCGGTAAGGCTCCGCACATTCCGGCAGAGGGCGGGGTCTGGACCCGACGCAGGCCGCGCCTGCCCCTCCGCGCCGCGCGCACTCGGAGGGGGGGAGGTCCCGGGAAAGCAGTGGAACAACGAGGCTACGGAGGCCTAGCGCCCTGCGCAGCGAGGCGGCGGGGGGCCCCGCCTCAGCACCCCCCGCCCCCGCGCCCCAGTGGCTGCAGTGGGGGGCTCGAGCCCGGGGTCTGGGACCAGGGCC